TAATTGTCTTATGCAATGTTTTGTTTACTGAGGGGTTTGTTGCACCTTCTTATGCAGCAGCCTCAGGTGAGGGACCCTCAGGTCTTACCCTGAATGGCAGTTTTTGTACTCCTTAGCGTTGGACTGTTGCTAGAGCAGTGGATGCTTGTGCCTGCACAGATACTTGTACTTACTGAGGTTTGCCTTGAAGCGTGGAGATTGGATGTGGCTGTAACCCTCTCCCGCACCTCTGTCTCAGGAGAAGACTGTTACAGTAATCTCACACCCCAAAAAATGTACCTACTGTTTCATGACACAGCAGCCTGAGCCCCCTTGCAGAGCAGGCTGCATGTGTCGAGAGCAATTCACTGCTGAATCAAAGATGCTAGAGAATATTCTCCAGGCTGCAGCCTGTGCTGTTTTTGGAGAAGTTCGAGAGTATTTTGCAAGAAGGAGGTGATGAGGTGAGTTTTATAAGCTTGGGTGCAATAGGAAGTACCCCACCGTGGGACAAAACTTTGGCGATGTTACGCATCATGACTCACACCAGTGTGTGGTGTTCAGGAGCAGCTCTGGCAGTCACACCACAGGGAGCATCTGAAGCAGAGTTACACAGAGCAGTCACGACTCTTTTCCTTGCAGAGACTTCTAAACTGTAATATTGAAGTGTCGGTCGAGAAGCCAAACACATCCCCCTGTTTGCGCGTACAGCTGGGGGCGGTGGTTGCTGCTGCTTGGTGAGCCAGGAAAACTGGCAACCCCTGGTCTGCAGCACGAACCGGAGCCGTGCTGTAATTAGATCTGTTGGGTTTGGATAGTGCAGGCACATTTTAAACCTCTGAAGTGCACGAGAAAGCCAGCCGTATCCTGGGCTGCATCGGAAGTGTGGCCAGCAGGTCGAGGGAGGGGATTCTGCCCCTGTACCCTGCTCTGGTGAGACCCCACCTGGAGTGCTGCGTCCAGATGTGGAGCCCTCAACGTCAGAAGGATATAGACTGGTTGGAGCGAGTCCAGAGGAGGCCACGAAGATGCTCCGAGGGCTGGAGCCCCTCTGCCATGGGGACCGGCTGAGAGAGTTGGGCTTGTTCAGCCTGGAGAAGAGAAGGCTCCGGGGAGACCTTATAGCACCTTCTAGTGCCTGAAGGGGCTACAAGGAAGCTGGGGGGGACTTTTTACAAGGGCCTGTAGTGACAGGACAAGGGGTAACGGGGTTAAATTGAAAGTGGAGAGGGTTAGATTAGGTATGAGGAAGAAGTTCTTCATGGAGAGGGGGGGGCGGCACTGGGACAGGTTGCCCAGAGAAGCTGTGGATGCTCCATCCCTGGAAGTGTCCAAGGCCAGGCTGGATGAGGCTTGGAGCAACCTGGTCTAGTGGAAGGTGTCCCTGCCCATGGCAGGGGGGTTGGAACTGGATGGGCTTTAAGGTGCCTTCCCACCCAAACCGTTCTATGATTCTATGAAAGGATAGTCGTGTCCCTCCTGGCACTCAGGACAGAATGTCTGGGTGTGGGCTGGTGTCCATCACCAGTGGGAACTGTCTGGGAACCTCTCAGCCGGAGAGCTGTAACCCACCTGAAGGAGCAGCAGTTTCACAAGCTCAGTCTGCATCGCTGCTGTTGCCTCTGCCCTCAGGAAGACCCTCTTTGTGATCTGGTGCAGATTCTGCTGAGCACACTGCCAAAACATGCACCAGAGCTGGTGTTCCCGCAGATTCCCAGAGTATGAGCATGTGCTGGGCTACGTCCTCCTCGGTGACCATGACTGACCTGTCTTCTGCTGGGTTGGCTTGGGCCTCCTCTCTCACCCAGCGGTGCTTGGGCGTGGGAGGCTGATCTCCCTGTGCCAGGCTGTGCTGGGTTGTTACCCTGGGCTGGTGGCAGTGCTTTTCTCATTGAGGCAACGTGGATAACTGCCTGGCTCTTCCTAGAGTGCACAAACAGCTGAAGCATGATCAGACTGTTGTCAACATGCAAACATGGCTGATGAATTTTTGTGTTGCGTAAAAAGCTGTGTGTATAGCCATGTCAGCGTAGCGTGTTGAGTTCCTGTTACAAAACCTTAATTGTGTTTCTGCTGTAGATGTATGCTTGGCAGAACAGGGGCAGGAATTATCCATCGATTACCTGATGGGACCTGTTCAGCGAGGCTGTTCCCATACTCCTTCCAACCCAAAGACCAAACGCGTTCTTGTACAAAATGGGGGTTTTGTGTGTGTAGTTATTGTTTCTTAATGCATTTCTGTCCCAGTGTGGGTCCCAGTTACACAGCTTGGAGCTCACCACGCTGGAGCACAGCCACATGGTTGCAGTGGGGAGTCTCGCTTTTCATATGCGGTAAGATTTAGGCTGTGTACACAATCAGGAGTGGAATACAAAGCAGCAACAAACCAATTCGTGCTAGTAACTGCCAGCTCGTGTCACAGATGTGGTGGGAGCTACTGCATGGTTAGATGGAAGGGACTTCTGATTTTATCACTGTGTTACTCAAGCTTTGTGAAAAGCTGCTTTATTCATTGTAGTGGCAAGGTGGGACCAGCCTCAGGAAGCCGGCTGTTGTCTGAATCCCACTGCAGCTGAATCAGTGTGATATTTGGTAATGTCACTAGCGTAGAAGAGATCTCAGTATCTAGATGCATATGTGTCAGGAATGTGGGCTGAGGCACAGATTGTGTTCCTCACCTCAGAACTTGTATTGGCAGGACAAACACCAGCCTGAGCAGACGTGGCTGTGGTGGATGAGGGCCCGTGCTCAGTAAAGGGCCAAATTTATTGTCAGGCTTTAGGCTTCAGGCTCCTGCTCAGATAAGAATTATCTTTAAAAAAAAAAAAAAATCCCTGTCTGATCCAGCTGTGTGTTTCACCAGGGCTTGTATTACACATGGTTGAGAGGAAAGAAAAGTAAAGTGCAGAGATGGAATGAGTATACACAGGGATTGCACAACAAATATGAAAACCTACAGAGGAGACATGTAATGGCTTGACCTTTGGGCTGCTGACCCTTTGGATTTTGTTAGCATCACCCTCGTTCTGGAGGCACCCTTACCTGGGTGGAAGAGTTGCTGCCAAAGGAGACGATGTGGGTAATTGCTGGAGTGCGGGGAGAGAAGTGCTTCCTCTTCCAAACAAGCGTGGCTTTGTGTGCTCCGAAGCCTTGTCAAGGTCCCCTGGGCCCAGGGTGAGATGGCAGCAGTGTAACCATGGCAGTGTTTGTCTCTGGGATAGTCACCGGTTTAATGACTCATCCCAGAGAATGTCATCACGTGTGCAGCCTCCCTGCTTCCCTTTGCCCTATTTCATCCAATCTTTTGATCTAGTTATATAACCGGGAGCCGACAGGGGTGGGGGGAAGGAAACAGTGCTGAGGAATTGCAGGTGATGTGACCAAAGTGTGTCTGTAGCTCAAACAGCAGAGCTGTTGTCTGGGAAGCCTGAGAAACTGGGTTTATTCCCAGCACAGTCCTCTGTCTGCAAGTGAATGTGATGGGTGGTGTCTGAGCATGCACGTTTGAGGAGGCATGGTGGGAGGACACGGCTCCAGGACCTCGGCTCTGGCAGGAGAACTGCTGTGGCTGGAGCAGTGAACCCCTCTGCCTGTATCTTCACGTGCAACGTAACTCTTCCCTGTGTTCATCATGAGAGCTCTTTCATCACACGGATTGTGGATACCTGTTTTTCTAGTACGTGTAAGACTTGCTGGGTTTGATGTTCACAGAAATGTTTGAGCCGTGCTGCTGATGTTGGTCCGGGGTGGGCTGAGCCCTGCAGTCCTAATAGATTCTGACACAGACCGAGCGAACGCCGCGGCAGGGCTAGTGGGACGTCTGGAGAGGAGGTTTGCAAAGTTGCTACTTTTGACTGAGGTGTGAATCTAGTTCTTGTCACCTGGATTTACGAGGTGGTGTTGGCGATAAGGTTAATTTAATAGGCAGATGAGCGTGGTGACTGTGGAGGTGCCAGTACGTGCAACGTGCTGTGCTGAAGCGTCCTTCGTTTAAGCTCCCAGCTTTCTGAGAAGGGATGCTCTTTGTCTCCAGATCCCAGAGTCACAATGTGATGCTTGTTGGTTCTCTATTACTTCATCTGTCACATTCTTCTCCGATGATGTCTTCTTTCCTTCAAAGTTCTGTCTGAGTGTCATTTCAGTTCAGTCATTAGCTCAGATACACAGTGTAAGCAAGAAAGCTGATTATGAGATGATGTTCAGGGTATCTCTTCGCCTGACATGAGGGGACAAGATGCTTCAAAGAAGCTATTACAAGGCTTGTCAGAAACAGTTTACTTCAAGGGAAGCTTTTGAACAGAAACATTTCCTTTCTGTGCTCTGCAACCATTAGCTTGGTCACTGGCAGCCTGTTGAAGAGCAAAATGTCAGACAGAACAAGGTGCCATTTCCCATAGTGCTTCAGGACTGAATTCAGCCACTAATGGAAGTCTGAAAATAGGAGAATGCAGAGAATAAGGAATGTGTGTGATTTATAATGTGGAAAGAGTATTGCCACTTACTTTTTGTTTTTAAAAAAGCTTGCCAGAAGTTACATTTAAAGCATGAGAGTGGAGCCTGGTGATAAAACCACTGAGCTGCCTGCTAAGCCGTGACCCAGTGTTTGAACCAGATAACGTCTTGCATGGTATGTTTTGTTAACTTGGAGGATGGTTGCACAGGTGTCATATAAATGGAAATACCTGCCCCACTTGAATGCTGGAAAACAAGGAAAAAGGGATTTGAGTTCCTTGTTTTAATCAGAGCTCATCATGCCCTTTGGGACAGCAAGTCCTCTGCGTGGACCGAGATAATTTTGCCTTGTTTTCTTGTCAGGACACTTTTGGGCTGTGTTGAATGGTGTTAGTCTTGGCTTTCATTGGGAAGAGACCCTTTTCCGTAAAACTTTTTAACACTCTTTGGGTGGCACTGTTGGAAATGACCCCAGTTTTAACCCTCAGAGAAACATGCTTGCAAACGAGTTAGAATAGGACTTGTTGGTTCCCATTCAGCTCAAATCCTGATGAATGCTGGTGTAAAAGCCAGCTGCCAGCCTGGCACACTTGTTCTGGTGTCACTGCCTCCTTGTCTTTCCAGACCAACCCCAGGAAGCCGTGTTCAGCGGTGACCATGTGGAACAGACGGAGGATGGAGAATGGCAGCGCTCTACTTCAACTACCTCATCTCAGAGTGAGCGGGCAGAGCGACTCTTGCAGAACCAGCACAAGAGCCTGGCCTCTGAGGACACCAAAAAGAAGAGGGCTCAGAAACCGTCTCACATGCGGAGGAACATAAGGTGGGCAGCAGCAGGACAGAAAGAGCTAGGGTCCTATGTAGCCTTTTGGGTAAAGGAGACTCTCTGGACTTCGCTTCTGAGCTACATTTTGCCACTGCTTCTGGCAAACCAGATGGCTTTTCTTTTCCAAAACCTTAGGATTTCACCAGTGGGAGTAGTATGATCTCAGACTGGAGTTGCTGCATGTGGGTGCAGACTTGTTTGGGATTTCAGAAGAGTGAATGTTTGGTTATGGATGTATTACAAAAATTGTGTATTTGCTGCTGGCTTTTAAGACATGTAATTGAAAACCAGCACCACCATTAAGTAAATATCCAGTTTCAGATACCTGCTGGTGAGCATCCTATTGCAAACAGGCTAAAACATAGTCCTTCCATCTACTATCCTGGGTACTTGTTGGCAGGAGTGCTCATGCTGTGACTGGTGACTAGAATTTAGGAAATCAGTTTCACCTGATGTACATAGAACAGTAACAGTTTGAATGTGTACGTCACCACATACCTTCTGGGACAGGTCGTGAGGTAGTAATTCACTAGGAAATTTTGTTCAAGGGGATCTAAAATGCTCAGAGGAGTCAGAGTGGAGCAGGAACTCCTGTGGCAGCAAGTGTGACTCTCTTGCCCTGTACATAACATGCTGGTTGGTTCATATGTAAGCTTGTGAAGGTAGATTTTCTTGAAGCCCAAGGAATGAGCATTGAGTAGACCTTGGAAACAGACTTCATTAGGATAGAGGAGATGTCCCTGCAGTGTGGGTGAATTTAAAGGCTAGTTTGAAGCAGCTGGATTTTACCCCTGCTTGTACCGCACCTCTCTCCTGGCAAAAGAGCCTTCCTTTCCAGGGCTGCACATGCGAAACTGAAGGGAGGGAAAGCAGCTTTTGGAAGTTTACGTGTAAAGGTAAGGCGCTGTGAGAGCATCCTTTGAAACAGTTGTTAAAGCCATTAGGAGTCCTAGTTCCTGAAAATTCCATGTCAGAGGAGAATCAGGGTGATGGCTTTTTGCAGGTGAATTGATACCTTTTCTTCCCATATACCTTCTCTGCATACTTTATTAATTTTCTCTTTATAGACTGCGTAGCAATAAATAACATCCTTTCAGACAGAAAAACCAGTCTGTGATAACCTAGCTTAAGCATATACTTACCCACTCACATTTTTCCTTTTGTTATTTTGCATCTGTCAAGCTTTTGTCTTTTCCTTGAGTAAGAGTAGTGTTAGTAACTAGAGTTAACAGTAGTGTTACCTGTAGCTGGGAAGCACAGTCTTGAAACAGGTGTAGAATTTGTCTGTAGCTTTTGGCAATAATGTTCCTTGTCTGTGTAGCTGACAGACTTTCCCTGGAGCTTGTCAGTCATCTTTTGAGCCAGCTGTACAGCCATTCAGGTTTTTGGAAGAAGTGGTTTTGAGTGTGACCGTATCATGTTTCTCTGTTTGCTCCTCTGTTCAGAAAGCTGTTGCGTGAGGACCAACTGGAAGCCGTGACAAAAGCAGCCCAGCAGGAAGAGTTGGAGAGAAGGAAACGGCTAGAGCAGCAGCGGAAGGATTATCAAGCCACTATCCCAACCGTACCCCTAGAGTTTCTTCCTGGTAAGCAGTGGGAGGTGCCACTCGAAGCAAAATTTTTAAGGATAGAAGCAGAATGAAGAAGAAGGTAGTGCCATGCTTGTCCATGATAGGACAAGGGGTAATGTTTTTAAACTAAAAGAAAGTAGATTTGGATTAAATGTAAGGAAGAAATTTGTTATGATGAGGGTGGTGCAACACTGGACAGGTTGCCCAGAGAGGTGTTAGATGCCCCATCCCTGGAAACATTCAAGGTCAGGCTGGATGGGGCTCTGAGCAACCTGAGCCAGATGAAGATGTCCCTGCTTATTGCAGAGGGTTGGACTAGATGACCTTTAAAGGTCCCTTCCAACTGAAACAATTTCATGATTCTGTGCCACGCTTGGACTTACAAGTGTAAACTCTTGAAACAACAGTTCCAAACCAGTTGTTGTTCTGAGCTAGTTCTGAATCAAGATGCTGTGGCTGCATGGCAAAAGGTGCCAGGTAATTTCTGTTGAAGATGTTTTAACAAGGTGTGTGTAAGGGAGATGCTGGAATGGGTCTCTCTTGTCTTTTCAACTAGTATAGAAGCTTAAACAAACGGACTTGACAGAAATGCCACATCCTTGATCCCGATCATATTTGTACTGTGAATGGTCTGGTAATGCATGGGCCCGGTACAAGGGATAGTGGAACAATAGTCTGGGTGTAGGTGTGTTCATGGTGTTAGACTGGGTATACATATGTTCGTGATGTAGCCTTGTCCTTTCTTGCATGTTTCAGCAAGCAGTGAAATAGCAGGCAGTATAAATGGTTAAGCATCACCCTTGTCTTCCGGTGAATATGTCATCTCGCATTGTCTTCTAACCTGGATCATTTCAGTCATCTGGTTTATAGCACAGCCTCTCAGACTGGTGTAAAGGGCAGAGAAGTGCAGTTGGAAGTTGTCAGGGGTAAGGAGTTCTTGAGTTGACTTTGCATCTACAGAAAATGTATATTCTCCCTTAAGTGCAAGTGTTCAAAACATTTTTACATGGTGGGGGGAAGGAATAATGGCTATTTAAAACACTTTTAACTGTTGTGGAGGAGATTGCAGCCTTAGAAGAATGTCCTTGCATGCTGAGTCACTAACTGTTGTGGAGGAGATTGCAGCCTGCAATAAGCAGCAGTGCTTATTTGGCCCTGTTAGTTAGCCTCTCTCCCCACATGACAATACTAAAACATGCAAACAAATGGTCCTGATCAGCAAAAGTTGTTTATGATATGTGGGATATAATTATTACAGTGTTCCTACTGACAAAGGGCAGCTATCGTCCCTTCAGCAGTTGGTACTTTCCCTGCTGGATGAAGAACAGCTTTACTTCTGCGACCCCACCAAAAAAAGGAATTAAATAAAACGAAACAAGGGACTTGAGCATGTTGCATGGTCAGCGTGCCCCAGGCAGGGCACGCAACAGAGCGGGTGCCATCAGCAATGGGCTATTGTTAAGGCACACGGAGAAAGGAGGAGACTGTGACCCAGGAAGCTGAGTCATAGCAGTTTTGTAGACAGTGAGAGTCTGTTATGGAAAATTCCAGGGCTAAGTTACTGGAGCAAAAGTGGAAGGAAATACTGTCTGGTTTCTGAACAGTTTTGTCTCCTTCCCGATTATTATGAATTACTTATTGTTTGTAATTTATGTTTGTAGAGGACATCGTTTTCAGAACAGCAGAGGCTGCCCAGCTCCCCCCTCAGGTCCTGGCTGAGGAAGTGATCTGCCTAGATAGTACCAGCAGTGGCAGTGAGGATGATGCTAAAGGAAAAAATAGCATTAAAGATGGTAAGTGACCAATTGCCTCAGCCTGGTCTGCTCACAACATGTGGTTTATTTAGCCACAAGCCTCCTGCTTTCATCTAGTCAGATGCTACAGTAGTCAATAACTTCTAATTTTTGTAGGCCTATTGGTTTCCAAATATATGGCCAGTTCTTGGCCTTTGAGTCCTAAACCGACCTTTGTAGCCCGGCCTTTCAGGCATACCTGTGAGCTCGTGTTTATTTCTGCTTTATAAGTGCACTTGATTTTGCTCAGTGCTCTGCTGAAGAATGCTTACATGAGATGTGGCATCCTCTGCTGCATCTAAAAGGAGCATCTAAGTATTCAGGTCTGCAGCAGAAAGGGGGTTTTGTGTCCCTTGTCCCACGTGGATCTAGCCCGACTCCCTTACACCACTCAGGTAGAGTACTGCCAGATTTCCCTGATGGTTCTTAGACAGCGTATCAGCGGACAAAATGCATGCCTGGGTTTGGGAATTAAGAGGACGTACGGAGGAGAGTGCAGACACTTGCAGACACTGCCTCGTGTTCTGTTTGGATCAGTACAACTTAATGTTCTCTGGAACATGGGGAAACTCATGCTTTTACATGCTGGCCTGAGGGGCCTGATGTACCTGCTTGTTCAAAATAGGTCATTAGGCCAGTGTGGAATTGCAAACGGTGGAAGCCTAATTTTCCAGATAGGAGGTTCCTTTCCATGCATGATAAACCCTGACATCGAGTTAACCTTTGCCCTTATTCTCTCCTGTTTTGGTTACTTTACAGAAGTGATTGAGCTGAGTTCAGGAGAGGATGATGCCCTCCAAATTGTGGACAGCAGTGACTCTGGCAATGAAGGGGAGGAGGATGGCAGTGAAGAGAGCAGTGGCTCTCATGTGAATGATGCCTTAAATCAGTCAGATGCTCTGGGGCAAGTCATTGTCAACATCAATCATCCACCAAATGAGGAGGACATTTTTCTGGCTCCCCAGCTTGCACATGCAGTAAAACCTCATCAGGTAGGCTTTATAAGCCTTGAAAATGCAAGGATTTCAGGCAAGCCTGCCTGGTAATCTCAGCAGAACTTCTTTGGTGAGCTCTGTGACCAGTCTGGTGGTGATGGTGGCTGTTGTGGACAATCAAAAGATAAGGAGAAATTAAAGGAAGGCCAAAGCTATGTATAATGCTGACTATTGTTATCATCAGACCTTTGTATATTTAAATGAACATTTTTAAAATAAAATAGTATTTATAAACAAACTAATCAACCCCAGTTCAGATTCTCTGGCTACAAATGAATTTTGATTTATTCTGATGTTTTCAGGAAGTTTTATGAGTATCTAAAAATCCTGACTTTCTGAGCATTCCCTAGATTAGAGAGGATACTGTAGTGAATTTGAAACATCCCCTTTATATTTTCATGGTTTATGCCATCCTAATGTGCTTGCCACTCTGTAAATACATACTCATCTTGGGCTTTTTCCTCCCACCATTCTAATACCTCTTTTACTTTTCTGTCTAGATTGGCGGGATCCGATTCCTGTATGACAACTTGGTCGAGTCTTTGGAGAGATTTAAAACCAGCAGTGGGTTTGGGTGTATTTTAGCACATAGCATGGGCCTGGGCAAGACCATACAGGTCATCTCTTTCTTGGATGTACTTTTTCGGCACACGGAGGCAAAGACTGTTCTTGCCATTGTACCTGTAAGTAGCCACGTGAAGGGCTGGCACCCTTGCACTATTTCTTTCTTTGTGTAGAGAAGATTGACTAGTCTCCTGTCTCACGTCAAGCTCTCTCATATCCTTGCTGCTCCTCTCCGTCTTTCATTCCAAGAGGTTGCGTGCTGTGGTCTGCTCCTTCTGTCTGGGCACGGCTGGGTGTCATTTCTGCTCTTAAAATCCCGAGTGACTCAATTGGGGTTTTAATCCTTCCATTTTAATCCTACATTTTTTCAGGTGAATACGCTCCAGAACTGGCTAGCAGAATTCAACATGTGGCTCCCAGCACCTGAAAACCTTCCTTTTTTTATAACTCCAAAGAGGTCCAGCCCCGCACCTTCAAAGTCCACATCCTGAACGATGAACACAAGTAGGTGCCAATCAAAGCCCTTTTGAGCTCTTGGACTGCAGTTTAAGGACTGTTACCAGAATTGCTGTTGCAGACTGTTTAGTTTGGGCTAATTCTGTGTCCTCGACTCCCAGATCTTTCCCACTCTGCATTTGTTGTGGATGCCATCTTGAAGGGAGGATATTGGTACCCAGGAGAGATTTACTGTTTCTTTCATTGGATAGAAAGCAGCCCTGAGGA